CCGATGCGTCGCCTAGCCATGCCGTCCCTTGGCTGAAACGAACCCAAGCTCCAGCAGCATTCCTTGTCACAAACGCAAAACAAAAAAAAAAAAATCCAGCAGCATTCAGCCAAACACTGACACGCACCATGCGGGTTGAGTGCCAGGCAGAACAAACGGAACGCAACTCACATGATCATCTGCTGAAGAAGGATGGGCAGCACAAAAAATGGATAAACCAATAGCTGTACGAAAGTATGCGATACGCGCATGATACATATCACGAGAATAGAGCAAAGTAAACCCCGGAACAACGCAAGACATGAGCCCAACAGTCAGGTATTGTTTCCTCACATGATATGGTACGGAATTGGTTCACAATTTCACAAACACGGAACAGAACATGTAGCACGGGATCATTCCACAGACACATATGGCATATGCAATGCAAGTTAAACCATCACAATCACTGGATGCCTCCACAGTACCTAAATCACTATCTCGTCAGTAGTAGCCAGCCGCCACCCGTCCGCTCTTCATTTGTCTCCACAGGCTAGAGCAATGGAGGACGAGTGCTGATAACATGTGTATGCGTCACAGCGGCAATAATGGCATCTCCCCGGCCGGCATGATACTGATAGGTTCGAGCAGTTCAGAAGATGGGCGCTATGCCAATGGCCCGTCCCTCCGCACCCGAACACGCTCACCGTTGAAATGGATGTACTTCCACTTTTTCAAGTATTTCTCAAGGACGTGTTTTTCTTTTTCTTCTTGGCCAAAAGCCACGAATGCTTTTCCAATCCGTCTCGCTGTATCCTCATCTGGACGCACCCCTAATTCCTCCATGTCAGCATATATCTGAAATTGGCAACAAGAACACATTAAGACTTCAGAGTTCAGGCATCTCTTTTTGAACACAAAAGCTAAGTTACAAATCCTTTTTTCTTTTTTGAGATTAGCTAAGTTACAAATCTGACCAGCCAGCTAGACAGGTGTTGCTAGACCACATACAAGGAATTGTTTCCCATCCTGTTCCCATATGACCTGTCAGTCAGGCTGAATAAGCTGTCCATTAGGCTCCATGACCAGTGCTAGATGGGTGACCATATCCATATGAATACTGGTTAACCTTTCTAAGAACATTGAGTGGCATGTGACTTGCATAATTTTCAGAACTTAAGCATCAGTCAACTCATAATTATGGTTTCAATGGAAAGATTGACTCATAATTTATTATCATAGAATTATTCATGTACCAGTCAACAAATATAGTTGAAAATGAGTAAGATATACCTCCAAAACTTTATCTGGACGTCGGCAAATGTCATGCATCAAGATCATCCGAGAGAACAACCTCTTGGGCACTGAGCGTATGAGTCTGTATTACAGTATTCCAAATTGACTCAGCTTCATCTACCCGCTTATCCATAAAAAGTGCGAGCAGAAGTGTATCATATGTTGTCCAAGTCAGCACCTGGCCTTTGCTCATCAACCACTTGGTTACCTGTGAAAAGCATTGACATTCAGCAGGTGACTGGCAAAACTAGTTTGTTATCAGAAACTGTGATAACAGAACTCCAGATAAGAAAACCTAAATTATTGACTTGCTAGCAACTACTATAGCTTTTGTCCATAACAGTCATACCTGGATTATTCTTAGCCATTGTTGTCGCCTTTTCAACATCCCTAAAGCTTTTGCTGCTGCTATAATAGGAAATTCAGGCTCAAAAGCACTCCACTTGTCCAATGCACCATAAATAGCTTCTCTTTCATTTGGTAACTTTGAAACCTAAAAGATATGGTTCCACAGACTGAATTGTTGAGAACACGTCAGTTTCTTAAGCCTGATAGGATGGTTTTCACGATAACTAACTACTATTATTAATCAGAGCACAGGAAAAGAGAAATATGATAACAGAAGAAGCCATTTGTTAAACTGTTTTCACATCTTGAGGATACGATAAAGTGATCCTATATCTTACAGTATCCTTTTTTTTCAAAAGATCCAGAATTCCGGCTTGATTAATAAGAAGGAGAGCAAGTGTATATCTTACAGCATCAATAAGACGCAGAGCCTTCTTCCCTGACCCAGCTGTCTCCTTCCTGATCCACAAATGCTGCTGCTTGTTTGGTTTCTTTGACACCCTATGACATAATAAATGCAAATTAATTTATTAAATGATAAAGAGCAGGTCAAAGTGCACATCGTTATCTCAGAAGCAGTTGTTGCAAACCGAACAAATACTGATGATGCATGAAGATGTGAAGACCATAAGGGGAGGCCAAACCAACTAATTCCATTAAATGTGCCAACATTTCTTAAAGCATCTTTTGTTTTTTTGCAAAACATTTTTGATGGATGGAACCAGCAGGAAAATATAGTAGCTTATCTGACAGGCTACACATCTAAAACCGTAAGGAGGACTAATTTCTAGCTGAACACTGATCGGAGTGAAAAATTATGCAGCACGGAATTCTTATGCCCATCTACATAACCCCAGAAGTAGAGGTAACACAAAATGGCACAATGCAAAGTGCGTACAGTTAATTCATATGCACAGTAAACCCAATGCAGTTCCTCTGCATATGCTAAACAAAACAACCAAATACCGGCAAGGCAGCAGTATCTCGAGAATCTATAGTGAGGTGTTCACATCATGTACCCCTAATTCGACAACGAAGCTTCTTCTGACAATACGGACACAAGAAAAATCACAGCGGTATTCAACTACCTCGTATGTGCCCCCTAAACCATCCGTGTGCCTTGAACCGGACCACCAAATTGGACTAGGAAAAAAAAACAGCTTCTACGAAATGCATTCCATCGACAAAGCAGCACGCTCGTAGTCGTAGAGCAAGGTGACGGGCAAGCAGCACAAGAATAAAGAAGAAACATATCCCCAGTTAGCACTTACAGCGCCCTGCTGCCTGCGTCGCGGTTGGCTCCTCCTCCGCCACCCTTCCCCCTCCCCGGCGGCTCCGCGGCGAGGCGAGGCACGAGGCGGAGAGCGAAGGCTCCCGCCATGGCCCTGCCCTTCTTTCCTCGCCAAGCTCCGGCGAAGCCGGGGATTGGCCGAATCGGATAACGTTTGGACAGCGGCGAAATTCGCCGGAGCTTGGCCGAATCGGATAACGTCTGTACAGCGGCGAAGTGGGGCTGGGACTTCGACTTGGGTAGTTGGGTTGGGACTTGGGAGGTCGTCGTCTCGGGCTCTCGGCTCGGCTAGGTCGAGACAACAATGTGGGCCGGTGGCCTCTGGCTCCTCAGTAGCCTGAATGAATGTATATAGTGGGCCGGAGCAGCTTCTGATTTGGTTTAGCAAATTGGGTCTGGTCTGGTTGAATGTATAGTGGGCCTTGGATGGATCGAGTTGTGGAAGAATGTAACAACGCGGATTATGTTGCTACGGATAGTGTCTGGATTACGAATTCAGATAGTAATAGAGTGCATACAAGAACGATAAATGGAATTGGTCGCCGCCGGTGAACTCGAGCCGCAGCTCGCCACCATCTACTACCGGCGCGTTCCAAGACAAGTTCGAGTTCGCTAGGGGTTCACCTCTTAAACGAGTTCGCTTACAGCTGTTTCCAACAGCACATCACCAGACGTAGCTGGGCTTGGGCTTCTTCTACTTCTTCCAGCTTGGGCCGTGAAACTTTGGGTTGGCCTTCCTAGCGCGCTTGCTCCTTTTCCCTCCTGGGCTTGCAGGTACCTTGCGCACTATGACAAAGAACAACGCGCATAGGACGGCTCGGCTCGTCACGATCTCTCCAGTAAAAGAGGAATTGAAGTGTTCCTCGTAAAAAAAAAAGTTCGGTAAAGTAAGAATGAATACCTCTCTTTCTCTTCAAAAAAAAAAGAATGAATACCTTAGGTCCTCAAACTTTGAGATGTCGTACACTCGTACGACGTCGGGCGCGCTAGGCATGCTATAAAGCTCAGCTGCCTTGGAGAAGCAACCTCGAATCATATCTTTTTATCATGGAGCTCCTTTTTATCGACTAATCCCTTTCATTGATTCTTAATACTTTTCTGGGAAAAAAAGAAACATTCGTTTTCAACTTTTGTTAATCTCCTTTCTTTGTTTGCCAGAATAAGCAAGGGACCATGTCCATGCGAGAGAGAGAAGGAATAATCATAGCGTAGTTGCGTGGCGCTGAGGCCTTGTCAGCCGTACAATGTTTGTGCCAACGTAAATCTTACGCGTCCGTGCACAGGGAAACACTCATTCAGTCTCAGATAAAACAAAAGCGAAGCTCAGACTGTGGAGTTTGGATGGTTGCGCCAAGCAGAACCCTTTGTCGCTTGTTTTGGGATGCTCTGGTGCCGTGCTGCGCGGACCCCGTGCTGGGGCTCCATCGCCAGAATTTCAGACGACCAGAATCAGTTTCTTCAGCAGTACGAGAGTCTGACCACTTGGTTGTCGGCAATGCCGGATTTGTCCGATACCTTGTCTCAGCGTCAGTGTACAATGTCTTTGTAGAATGAGATGAACGGTATCTATGCACTCCATCTGTTCTTTAGTGAACGGTGATGATTCACAGATCATAAACATCACCACACTTTGCCTGCCCAAACTTGGATCTGGCAGATGAAAGACTGCGCTTCCATCTTCCCTCGCAGGGGCATGTTAAGTTGTTAACAACATCATTGCACGCTCAGGAGCATGAAAGAAAAACTAAGCATCTCAGCATGAAAGAAAAACTACCTGTTCGCTCGGCTTATAAGCCAAAGAGAACAGGGCGATGCTGATCAGCAGAGAAGTACATCGAAGATACCGGAAGGCTATGACAGGTGTAAATACATGAGAATGAGAGCACAAGAAAATTGTAATTACCATACAGCTACAATCTAATGTCAATGTCCTCTGGTCTGCACTTTAGGAAAACTAAGGGTACAGCATCATGTACATGTACAACAAAGGGCATCCTTTCTGGGAAAGCAGACCAAGTAATTCACTATATATATATTTTCATATGTAAGAGTTGATGTTTACTTCTGTCCTCCTGAAAACTTGTTGTCAGTGCCACGCAGAAGCAGATATCAACTTCCTGTTCTTCCAGCCGAGCAGCATCGCGCCATCCTTTTCCTCCAGGGTGTACTTGTCCGAGTAGCAGGCAAGGAGCTTCCTGATCACCGAGTTCACGTACGAGCTCAGCGGGTATGGTCTGAACCCGGCCATGGTCAGCCTTGACCGCCACTTACCCAGGAGCTCGTGCCTCTCCACCCGGTCCTTCCCCTCGCAGGCGATGATGTTCACAATGTCCTTGGCGAGGCAGTGCTGCTCCACGTTGATCCGCTCCTTGTTTTCCCGTGGCAGATTCGTGTCGATCGACTCAAACATGGCTGAGTAGTAGTCCAAGGTCTCAGTGAACCGCATCAGGAACGGGGTCGTGTTGGTGTGCGACTCCTGTTCCACAAGTGTGGTCACCTTTGGAGACAGACCTTTCACCATCCAAGTAGCCCGTCCGTGGGTTGTTCACGTCCACACTCTCATCTGGGGTGTGGTGCAGCTGCAGAGTGAAATTGACAGCAAGTGCTTCGCCTGGCTTGATGTCGAGCAATTCTTTTGTAACTTGAGTTGCATAAATACCAGGCAGAGGGGTAAACTCCAAAGGTATCTTGAATTCTTCAGACATGCTTTTCAACATCTTCCCTACAAGGTCCAGACCTTCACCACGAGCATACTCTGACACTGGATCATCTATTCCAGTGATCCGCATCATGCGGTGGACCCCAGGCCTTGCAGCGAAGCGCTTGTATCAGTGTTATCCATTGTGTCCCTTGAGCAATCTGGAAATCAATTATATGGATTTTGTCCTCATTTCTTAATGCCTCTGCAATTGCCCCATTGGCAGCCATATAACCAAACTTGAAGTACGGACAGATATTATATAAAATCTTCATGTAAGACAAGAGTTCATTACTCTCTGGTTCACGGCACTTCAGAGCACGATATATGTTTGTACCTGAGTTTGCATGTCTAGCAACCAAACCCTCAAGAAGGTAAGCACCTAACCGCTGGATTGGCTCTCCAGTAATTGATACAACTCCACGAGCTTGCTGAACAAGGTTTAGGAACTCATCTATCCTCTCCTCACTTGATGCTTCAGCACACTTGGTTAATAGCTGCTTCACCATGCTCTGCGGATCCTCCCTTAACTCCCTTAGCCGTTTCTCTGGGCGGAATTCATAGCTTGCTGTGGGGTATCCAGATGCAAATTGTGGCCGCACAACTCCTGGTGATGGCTGCCTTGATTCATGACTCCATGTCCTCGACCGCTGCCTCATCAGCTGAGCAGGTTTATGTTCCTCAAATTCATGCTTGGTGCTAGTGGCTGCATCCTCAGCATCAGGTGCCATCAGAACAGTCTCTATTTCCCGTAAAGCGTGTTGCATATTATGCCTTGATGTTATGTACAATGGATCAGGTCTCACTTGGGTGTTCTCCCGAAGGATAGCTGCTTGTCTGTATGAGCTGTCTACTTCCAGTGGTGATATTGGTTGTGCTGAAATGGTTTCTGTGGAGCTCTGATTATCTGGAGTATTGCTGAGAGCAGACAAATTATCACACTCAAGCTGGGATGAAAGAGGAGTGTATGGGGAGCTGCTGAACTCAGACTTCAGTGGACTAGCTGGCCAAGGAGTGTTTGCTAAGTTGTCTGTAGGAAATTCGTAGAAGACGTTAGCACCAGTTAATCTGTACTTTAACAACTGGTGCAAGTCCATAATAAATGAATGGGCATTAGTTGATCATGACCTGTACACAGCAGAAGATAAGATAGTATGAGCAACTTATCTCAAATAAGGACATTTGGTTTAGCAGTTCAACTTCAAGAATATAAGTCCAAAAAATGAAGAAAAGACGTAGGCAACAAATAACAAACAATGCAAACGACTAGCACGGCTTAATAAAATCATATGCAGCTTGGAATTCCCAAAATCCTCCATACAAGACAATTCATGAGGATACGTCTACTCATGCTTCAGCTAACCAAGTAAAACCACACTATCAGCATGCAAACAGCAGGGGTACGTGGTTTTCATGCAAAAGATGTAACAAGGTATATTAGGTGGGAAGCTCTGAACTATTGCTAGCTATATCAGCAAAATCAATGGACCTTAATAGCCATTACCAAGAAGTTTATCCTCCATGACAATAATCAGAATATATGAGATGAGCTTAAATGACAAGTTCAGTGTTTCCTTACGTCCAATATGCTACGAGCAGATCAATCAAACAAACTACTAAAAAAAAGTATAGGCACATGCACTCATACAGATAGTTCCAAACAGCTACCTACATATCATGTTCACTATGTTAACAAAGTGCTAGCAGTGGAGGAATAGTAAATCTGTTTTGACAACATAGAAAAAATTCTTCATGGACCATCATTGCAAATTACATTAGCATCTTGGGAATTCCCATGTTACTGAGATAGCTATCCTATTTCATTAGATCATCAATCTGTGTCATGCAACTCCAAAGGCCAATCAGCCAGGACCCTTTTTTACAAAATATCTCAATTGCTTTCCAATAGTCCCAGTGGCTCCACCATTCTACCATCAAAATCAAAGCATCCTTATAATTAAATTTGTGTATTCAGAATGTCAAAATCAAGCAACAGAGCATCAAACTAGATTCTACAGAGGAACACAAGAAACGAAGGATGGTGTTTAAGTACCAAGTTGTCGTACTCTCAGGAAAAACAAGTATCATCCCATAGAAGAAATACAACCTAACAAGGGAGTCTGGAGACCAAACATCACAAAACATCTTACACCTACTTCAGCACAACCATGGCTGCTCCGATCATTAAGTAAACAAACTCATACATTCTCTAGTTGGTGGAAGAGCATTGACTACACTATTTGATAATCAATCCTCTAGACCAAACTTAAGCAGTCTCTAAGATTCTCTATTTGTTGAAGGAGGTTGACCAACTCTGTTGTTTGACTACCGGTCTATTTCTCCCCACTGAATTCCCAAGAAAGAACTCCCCAACAAGAAGTTTGACCAATCAACCAGCTGAATCAACGTCAACTTCGTCACTAAAACATGAAGCCAATTTGCGTAGTCTCTACTCTGTCCAGTAAGAAGGTTTGAAACTTGTAGGATCCTGGACCTTGTTGGATAATGCAAAAATCATAGTTAAAAGACCCCCATGTCCAAGAAGAACCTCGATATGTTCTTCACAATCCTATGGGGTACTTTACTCAGCGAACCAAGAGATTGTCATCGAGGGTAAGTCAAATTGACTAATCAGGTGAGGGATGACATTTTCTAAGCCATGTCCTAATCAAACACACAGATGGATACTAAGTTTCAGTCCAAGCAGCGGAAAGTATGTGTTGTTCAGAATCAACTACCTGTTACTACAGAGGCGAGCTACTGTATTCTTCCCTAATTCCACAGATTAGGTTTCAATTTCTACAAAGTGAACGACACGCCAAGCTAAACACAGATTTTTTTTTTGGCATCCAGCGCAGTTATACCAAGTGAAGTACGAGACGAGGCAGAATTAGCGCCAATTCACCAACTAAGCACGGCAAAATTGACAGCAGTCCTCGTGACCCATTTCCAGCTCTCCCTCCCGCCCAACCCTAACCCCATCCTCAGCTCCGTTCTCAGTCGCGCGACCCCAACTTCGCCGGATGCGCCCCCACGACCGTCCGTCCCATCGGCCATCGCCCGCTACGTCGCCGCAGCGGCCGAATTGGCCGAATGAGCCAGGCCGCTACCCGAATGCTCACATCTCTCAACCCCCAGTAGCGCAAAAAATCCCCAAACTCCACCCTCCCAAGCTAATCAAACAGCCCCCCGAAAAAATTCCCCCAAAATGAAAACTCAACAGAAAACAAAACCAGCAGCGCGACAACAAGCAGAGAATCCAGCGAGGTACAAGCACGAGAGCTCTCACCTCCTCCGATCCGCACAGCCCGATCCAACTCCACCTCCACCACCACCGCGGCACCACCACCACCTCTCTCTCTCTCTCAAGCTTTTTTTCTCTCTCTTGTGCTATGCTAGTTCTCGTGTCCTAATCCTTCTTTGCTTGCGCCCCCTCCTTTTGTGTGCTGTGAATATTAATTATATATCTTGAAGAGAGAAAGGAAGCCCCAAGTGCCACGCCTTATATACCCCCATCCCTCGACGGCGACCGTTATCGCTCCGCCTCACGCCGTCACGGCCACGCTCCTCCGGACGGTCAGCGATCCCGCGTCGCCATAGTGGGCCCACCCGCCAGCTCCTGGTCCGTCCACACACCGTCCGGCCCGTAACAGACGGCCTGGATGCAACCGGTGCAGGGACGTGGGCGCGCTCACGTGCCCGGCGAGCGGCGCTGGGGCCACGACACGCCTGACGCGCGGCGAGCGGGCACGCGGTCTCGCCTTTGACCTGACGTGGATGGGATTTGAACCGCGCCGGGACCGTCCGTTTGGGATCGGAGGGGCCTCGTTCGCAGGATGGCTTTGGCGGCCTGGACGAGGGCGTCCCGCCGTCCGATCGGGAGCGGGGACAAGATAAGACGGTGACATCGGGCCAGTTCGTGGGCATGGGGCCCGCCACTGGGAAGCGGACAAAGGAGAGTGAGTTGACACGTAATAGGGCGATAGCTCTGCCCGGAAAATGCGTGAAATGCGATGCCATCGCATCTCCTCTCCTTGTCATTGGTATAGGAACTTGTCAGCTCAAGATATGTGAAATGAGAATAGAAACTTCCCTTGAATGATGATACTATGATAGTATAACATTTGAAGCACAAAGTTTTCCAACAGGGTCATCCTTGTATATGATTCATTGATTCTATAAATTGCAAGTTCATCTTAGCTACTCCGTAAAAGGTATTACTATTTTAGGGCAATTTTAAATTTCTAAAATAATTTTTTGAACTAGTCACCTTACCAATCTATACCTACTATTAAAAAGGCAAAATTTCTCTCCACCCATTTTTTCATCCGCCCTCCTCTAACTAACTACGTGAATAAGAAAACAGTCTCCGTTCGTAATCCTAATCAAATAGATTTCTCCGGTTTCAATTACTTGTGTCGGCAAACAACGATGCCCTGGCCGTACACGGACCATGGATAGGTGATGGTGTTGGCGGCCGTTTAGGTTTTTGCCCTCCACGTAGCCACGTTCCTTTCTGAATACTTCTATTTTTTATTTTTTCCATTTTCTTTCTAAATACTTCTATTTTTTATTTTTCATAAATATAAATATAACTAGAAGAATGCCCCGCGCGTTGCTGCGGGAATCGCTGGTGAAATATACTACTTATATTTACTAATATAATTGAATAAATATCATAATATATGTTAGTGGATGATTTTTAATATTCTGATATGGACAACTAAATATATGTTAGTAAGTGATGTGGTTTGCTAATGTGAATAGCTTGAATGAAGACATAATGGCATGTGTTAGTTGGATGTGTTAGTGGATACTGATGTGGACACTTTGTATGACGAGATGGTTGAATATGCTAGTAAGATGTTCTAGTGGATGCTGATGTGGATATTTTGCATGGCAAGATAAATTGCTAATGGGGTTTATCTCTATAAGAGAACTAGAAGAATACCCCGCGCATTGCTGCGGGGATTCCAGATAATTTTAAAACAAATTAGATTATTTATATTTATAGTTATATAAATAAAACTATCTTAAATTAATTTTGGTGAATGGTTTGACACATTGACGTGGACAACTAAATACATGTTAGTGGATGAAGAGATAGCTATCATAATTACATGTACTAGTTGACTATAATTGTAAGTTCTAGTGGATTGTTGATGTGGATAGCTTGCATGTTGAGAGAAGCTGTAATTGTAAGTTCTAGGGGATTGTTGATGTGGATAGCTTGCATGTTGAGAGAAATCTCTAGTGGAATTTAGCTTTATACGAGTATAGGATATAGATATCATAATAAATAAAAAAATATAATAATTATGGATCTTTGAGCTCTTGACTCATTTCTTAAGAAGTAGAGGTTTTCACCATCAAGTTTTTGCCGTAATTTTGATTAGAAATAAAATATGTTCTATTATAACTTGATTCAGTCCCACTAATCAAATTAAATTAAATGAAAGCTGAAATCATAAGCAATTTGTTGTGTGTAGTCCATTATCTATATTTATCGATACCTATATAAAGAGGCAAAATTTCTACATAAATTTTCATCTTGCCTCCACATTCATCTCTAACCATCTCCGGTTTCAATTACTTGTGTCGGCAAACAACGGTGCCGAGGCCGTACACGGACCATGGATAGGTGATGTAGGTGATGGTGTTGGCGTCCGTTTAGGTTTTTGCCCTCCACATAATCACTTTCCTTTCTAAATACTTCTATTTTTTATTTCTTCATTTCCTTTCTAAACACTTTTATTTTTTATTTTCCATAAATATAAATATAAATATCATAATAAATGATAAATATAATAATTATGAATCTTTGAGCCCTTGACTCATTTCTTAAGAAGTAGAGGTTTTCATCATCAAGTTTTTGCCGTAATTTTGATTAGAAATAAAATCTATTTTATTATAACTTGGTTCAGTCCCACTAATCAAATTAAATTAAATGGAAGCTGAAATATTGAGCAATTTGTTATGTGTAGTCCATTATCTATATCTATCGATACCTAGTATAAAGAGGCGAAATTTCTGCCCAAAATTTCATCTTGCCTCCACATTCATCTCTAACCATCCGCAATCCGAAATCAACTAGATTTCCACCGGTCCCCTAAATCTATACCAAGGATTTTCCAAATCGGCAAGCAAGGTGCAAGGGACCAAACCGAGACTAAATCAAAACCACCACATTGATCCAAATCCAAACCAAAATCAGACTAACTCTACAAAGGCAATAACTTATAAAATCAAATCAATAAATTTGTTGTTTCTTTTGCCGACGACCACAACAATCACCAAAAATCAATTCTTCTCCATCCATACACGAATCGAATCGAAAAGTAAATCGAGAGAAGAATTGAATCGAGGAAATCAGAGAAAGAATTGAGGAGGACATTAGATGGGGTCACGCCTCCAGGCCGCCCAGGGCGCCCACGCCGCTGCCTCCGAGGCCAGGGTGCCCGCACCGTCGACTCCCTCTGGGGGGTGCGGCTAGGTGCGCCC